CAATGGATCCGGTTTTAATGTGCCAGGCCTGTCTGGTGTTTTCAATATTTTTGCTAAATAAATCTTCAGTTCCTGCATCTGGTTTGTAAGCGTTGCCGCAACCTCATCATACACTCCTCACTCACTCTTCACTCACTCGTCCGCTTTTGGTTCAATCTCTGTCTCTCTCTGTCTCTGGAGGGAGAGTTTGTTGTTGAATTTGTTTAAGAGTGGACGATTATAGGGGATGGAATACCTGTCAACCCCTTATCAGTGCCCTACCTTATCATAGACCAACTCATCATACCTTATTGGTAACCCCGTGCCCCCTTATCTCAGCGTTCATCTTATACACTACACTACACACGACACTATACACTACACTATACACTACTATATACTAAACTATACACTGCACAACACTATACACCACTATACACTACATTACTATATACTAAACTACACATTACACTACACTATACACTACACTATATACTACACTGCACTATATACTACACTAAACACACTATACTACACTATACACTGCACTATACACTACACTATACAATACACTGCACTATACACTACACTATACTATACACTGCACTATACACTACACTATACACTGCACTACTATACACTAATATACACTACACTACACACTATACTACTATACACTACACTATACACTACACTACTATACACCACTACTATACACTATACTATTCACACTACACTATACACTACGACACTACACTATGCACTACACTATACACTACACTACACACTACACTATACACTACACTATACACTGCACACACAACACGTAAATAACAATCCGACAGTGGAAGTTGATTATTATTATTTATTTTAAAACAAAATCGCACACCCTACAAAACGTGGGCAGAATGTTGGCGCGGCTTTTCTATCATTCACCAATCGACCGGTGGAGTCGCTTCGGAATTTCTTAATCGATTAATGAATTATTTCGGTGAATTCAGACTCTAACACACAGCGGGCGAGATGGGTAACGCTGCAGACGGGCTACTCGTGTGTGTGTGTGTGTGTCTGTCTCTACGTGTGTGTCTCTACGTGTGTGTGTCTCTACGTGTGTGTGTCTGTGTGTGTCTCAGTATCTGTGTGTGTGTGTCTGTGTGTGTCTCTACGTGTGTGTGTCTCTACGTGTGTGTGTCTCTACGTGTGTGTGTCTGTGTGTGTCTCAGTATCTGTGTGTGTGTGTCTCTACGTGTGTGTGTCTCTACGTGTGTGTGTCTGTGTGTGTGTCTCTACGTGTGTGTGTCAGTATCTGTGTGTGTGTCTCTACGTGTGTGTCTGTGTGTGTGTGTCTATACGTGTGTGTGTCAGTATCGTCCGGCAAAACAACCCCCTCCCTCCTCGCGGTGCCGGACGGGCAACTCTGTCGTGGACAGTGCTGTGGGGGGAGGTCCAATTTTTGATTGGCTCCTCCCCTCATGGCATATGTGTCCACCACAGGGGCTAAACGGGGGCTCTGGACGGGTGCGAGGGGCTAGTAACCCCTCCACCTTCAATTAATTACCACGAAACCACGAGTTAAACTGAAATATGTAACTAATAAGCTTGTGCCGGAGGCCCCGGGGGGCCAGGCGTCTATGACGTCTCCTGGCCAAACCCCAATTGGTGGAGCCAGGAGATTGAATACCTACCCTCGGGGCTACTCCAGAAACAACGAAAAGCCACTACGGGTGGCCACGTGGAATGTTCGAACGCTCACTGCAGAGGAGAGGCTGCCACTCCTCTGTCGGGAGCTGGACCGGTACCGCCTGGATCTATGCGGCATTCAGGAGGTCCGGTGGACCGGCTCTGGCTCCTGCCACCATGAGGGGTGGACAGTCCTCTACTCGGGGCAGCAGACTGCCAAACAACAGGGTGTGGGTCTTCTTTTTAACAAAAGAATGAAGGGGGCGTGGGAGCGTGGCGGTGAGGTGTGGGAAGCTGTAAGCCCCAGGCTACTTTGGGCTCGCCTTCCCATCAACCGGAGGCGAGGAATGGTGGTCGTGGTTACTTATGCCCCCACCGAAGATGAACATCCGTGGAGGGATGCAGGCAAAGCCGATGAGTCAGATGCCTTCTATGACCTCCTGTCACAGGTGCTGGCTAAAGTGGCCCCTCGGGATAGAGTCATCATGTTGGGCGACTTAAATGTCCGAGTTGGTCATGATACTGGCACCTGGTCTGGAGTGATTGGAGGGCATGGGCCAGATCAGCTCAATAACAACAGTAGGAGGCTGCTAGATTTTTGTGCAGCCCATGGGCTTGTAATTACCAACACGCTGTTCCGGCATCGGCGCATCCTCACAACATCATGGATGCATGCCGGGTCCAAGCAAGAACATCTGCTGGACTACATAGTGACGGACCAGCGAATGCGAGCCCATGTCCTTGACACCAGGACCTACCGTGGAGCTGATCTGCCCTCTGACCATCGACTAGTCATCTGTAAGATGCGCCTGCCATTCTTCCACTCCGGTGGTGGGTGTACACCCAGGACCCCATTCCAACATAAAGTGGCCTGGTCTCAGTTATCTGATGAAAGTTGCAAGCGAGAATTTCATCATCGCTTGCGGCTGGGATTGGCATCGTCCCCGACTCCCCCTGATGTCGAGGGTAAATGGGCGAGGTTTAGGACTGTGACTCATGCAGCTGCAATGGCTGCTTTGGGTACGCGGTCCAGACCTCCCCAGAGACCCTGGCTGACAGAGGAGGTGTTCAGGATGGTTGAGAAAAAGCGACAGGTCCACTGTCATCGGCTACAGAATCCCACGTCAGAGAATGAGGAGGCTTACCGCAGCCTTCGCTCGGAGGTTCGGAGAGCCGTGAGGCGCTGCAAGGATGGGTGGTGGTCGCGGGTTGCTGAGGAGATGGAGTCTGCCTCAGTGGCCCGTGATCACAAATCTCTATTTAACTCCATCAAAAAAGTAACCTGCAGCGCCACACCTATTACCATCATTAGGGGAAAAAACGGTGATCCAATCTCCAACCCCCAGGAACAGGTTCGCAGATTTGCTGAGCATTTCGGTGAGGTCCTGGGGGAGGGAAAATCCCTCAGCCAGGAAAACATCGTGGCACAAAGTGAGGATGACCCTGCTGAGGCTGCGGTGCCTCAAATATTGGAAGAAGTCACCCCCTGTGAGTGGCTGGCTGAGGTGCCATCTGCTGAGGAGGTATTGAAGGCGATCCAGAGTCTGAGACCAGGAAAGGCAGCGGGCAGAGATGATCTCCCAAGCGAAATGCTGAGGGAGGGTGGCGTTTGTGTACAGACTGCCCTATATGACATCATAACAGTCTGGACCACTGGACGGGTTCCGCAGGATTGGAAGGATGCCCTGGTGGTCCCCCTTTTTAAGAAGGGGGACCGCACAGACTGTAATAACTACAGGGGCATCTCACTCCTCAGTGTGCCGGGAAAGGTCCTGGCAAGGATTATTCAGCATCGCCTTGCCAGGCACGCTGAGGAGAGGCTTGCGGAGCCACAATGCGGTTTCAGGAAAGGGCGGTCCTGCACAGATGCCATATTTTCTGTCCGTCTGCTACAGCAGAGGTGTAGGGAATTCCAACAAGACCTACATCTCTGCTTTATTGACCTGGTCAAGGCCTATGATACCATCAGTAGGCCTGGGCTCTGGGTCGTTCTTCGTGCTTTTGGAGTACCTGACCCTCTGCTCACGATCATTAAGGACCTTCATGATGGTGAGCGGGCCCGGGTAAAACTACGTGGCCGGGAGTCAGAGCCATTCCCTGTACACCTTGGGGTGCGACAGGGATGTCCTCTGGCTCCCACATTATTTAACATCTATTTTGACCACGTAGTTCGTGAAGCCTTCAACAGCTGTACCGGGGGAATCTCCATATGGTACAGATATAATGGGAGGCTAATCGATGCCCGAGTGCGGTCAAGGGATGGCTCCCTATTGCTCAACCACGTTATGTATGCTGATGATTTGGTAATAGCTGCTCAGTCAGAGGAGGAGTTGGAGACGCTGCTGCTGAGACTGGAGCGTGCCACTAAGAGGTGGGGCCTTACCATCAGCCCCACCAAAACTAAGCACCTGCCTGGGTATTTTGTACCATCGGACACTCCACCCCCACAACTCCCAATCGGTGATGGGGCAGTTGTGGAGAGAGTGGAGAGTTTCCCATACCTGGGCAGTGTGCTTATGACTGGCTCCAGTTTAACAGCAGAGGTCTCACTCCGAATCAGTCGAGCGGCAATATCTTTTCATCGGTTGCGTAACGCTGTGTGGAAGCTACCTGGTCTGTCGCTCCGCACTAAGCTTCAGGTCTTCTCGGCCACGGTCATTCCCTCCCTTCTCTACGCTTGCGAAACGTGGACCCCCCTAATGGAACATCTTTGCCGGTTAGAAACATTTAGGCTGGCCTGCCTACGATCCATCCTGGGGTTAACCAGACTGGATTGTGTGAGGAGCTCACAAATCCTTGAAAGATCTGGGCAGGGTCCCATCGGTGAGCTCCTCCGGCAGGCAAGGCTGCGATGGCTGGGTCATGTAGCCCGCATGCCCAGCCACCGCATGCCGAAACAGCTTTTGTTTGGCCGGATTGAGGGGGCTAAGCGGGCGCGGCACGGGCTAGAGAAGAGATGGAGTGATGTGGTACAGGAGGACGTGGAGCTGAGTGGACTTGCCGATGACTGGTACCAGCGGTGTCAAGATCGGTCTCTGTGGAGGAGGCTCGTGAAGGACGCTACTGGGCAGTTGGAGGCAGTCGCCCTCCAACAACAACGGAGGGCGGAGGAGCGACGCTCACAACAGCGAGCGGAGCGCCGGGTGGCTAAAGCAAAGCAGGTTGGCACAGTAGGGGGCACAGGTGGTGCATCAGCCAGTCATCTCAGTCAGTCGACCCGTGGCACCTGGGTCTGCCCCGTGACCTCCTGCCAGCGGGCGTTCGACACTTCACGTGGCCTCAGGGTGCACATAGCCTGGCACAAGCGTCGTGGTGACGTCACCGCCACTTAGTGGCGAATGGCGGTTGTTGTTGTTGTGTGTGTGTCTATGTCTAGGTGTGTGTGTCTCTGTGTGTGTGTCTCTGTGTGTGTGTGAGTGTCTATGTCTAGGTGTGTGTGTGTGTCAGTGTGTGTGTGTGAGTGTCAAGGCCGTGCGTTGTAGTAGTCCTTGGGGGAGACGACTACCGGCCCCCCAAAGTAGTCCACCACCCAGACGCTGGCGATGTCGAGGCGCGCCAGGAACCAGCCGTGGCTGGGGGGCCACTGACGCATCTCAGGGTGGCGTGAGAAGAGGGCAACGCGGGCAAACGCAGCCTCCGCCTCGTCCACCACCTAGACCAGCACAACAACAACAATCTCAACAACAACAACAATCACAACAACAACAATCACAACAACAACAACAATCACAACAATCACAACAACAACCATCACAGCAAACGCAGCCTCCGCCTCGTCCACCACCTAGACCAGCACAACAACAACAATCTCAACAACAACAATCACAACAACAAACACAACAACAATCACAACAATCACAACAACAACCATCACAGCAAACGCAGCCTCCGCCTCGTCCACCACCTAGACCAGCACAACAACAACAATCACAACCATCACAACAACAATCACAACAACAATCACAACAACAACAATCGCAAACCGACACACCTGATGACGACCGTTTGTGTTATGGTCGAAACGTCGTGAGAATTTTTATTGTTTTATACATATTTTATTATTTTATTGTTTCCCTTCAACGTGGTGACTTTACCGAAAGAACTAAGAATATGAATTACTGCAGTCACGAAAGCTTTAAATCAAAATTTAACAATCACAACAATAATCACAACAACAACAATCACAACAACAACCACAACAACAACAATCACAACAATAATCATAACAACAACAATCACAACAACCACAACAACAATCACAGCAAACGCAGCCTCCGCCTCGTCCACCACCTAGACCAGCACAACAACCACAACAACAACCATCACAACAACAATCACAACAACAACCACCACAACAACAACAACCATCACAACCACAACAACCACAACAACAACCATCACAAGCACAACAACAACAACCATCACAAGCACAACAACAACCATCACAACAACAACAACCACAACCACAACAACCATCACAACAACAACAACCACAACAACCATCACAACAACAACAACCATCACAACAACCACAACAACAACAACCATAACAACAACCATCACAACCACAACAACCATCACAACAACAACAACCATCACAACAACAACCATCGCAACCACAACAACAACAACCATCACAGCAACAACAACCATCACAACAACAACAACCATCACAACAACAACAACCATCACAACAACAACCATCACAACAACCATCACAACATCCACAACCATCACAACAACCACAACAACAACCATCACAACAACAACCATCACAACAACAACCACAACCACAACCATCACAACAACAACAACCATCACAACAACAACAACCATCACAACAACAACCATCACAACAACAACCATCACAACAACCACAACAACAACCATCACAACAACAACCATCACAACAACAACCACAACAACAACAATCACAACAACAACCATCACAACAACAACAACCATCACAACAACAACCATCACAACAACAACCACAACAACAACCATCACAACAACAACCATCACAACAACAACCATCACAACAACAACCATCACAACAACAACCATCACAACAACAACAACCACAACAATCATCACAACAACAACCACAACCACAACAACCATCACAACAACAACCATCACAACAACAACCATCACAACAACAACCATCACAACAACAACCATCACAACAACAACCATCACAACAACAACAACCATCACAACAACCATCACAACCATCACAACCACAACCACAACAAAAACAATCACAACAACAACCACAACAACAACCATCACAACAACAACAACCATCACAACCACAACAACAACAACCATCACAGCAACAACAACCATCACAACCACAACCACAACCATCACAACAACAACCATCACAACAACAACCATCACAACAACAACAACCACAACCACAACAACAACCATCACAACAACAACAATCACAACAACAACAACCATCACAACAACAACCATCACAACAACAACCATCACAACAACAACAACCACAACCACAACAACAACCACAACCACAACAACAACCACCACAACAACAACAACCATCACAACAACAACCATCACAACAACAACCACAACCACAACAATCATCACAACAACAACCACAACAACCATCACAACAACAACCACAACAACAACCATCACAACAACAACCATCACAACAACAACCATCACAACAACAACCATCACAACAACAACCATCACAACAACAACAACCATCACAACAACAACAACCATCACAACAACAACCATCACAACCACAACAACAACAATCACAACAACAACCACAACAACAACCATCACAACAACAACAACCATCACAACAACAACACAACAACCATCACAGCAACAACAAGCATCACAACCACAACAACAACCATCACAACAACAACCATCACAACAACAACCATCACAACAACAACAACCACAACCACAACCATCACAACAACAACCATCACAACAACCACATCCATCACAACAACAACCACAACAACAACAACCACAACAACAACAACAACCATCACAACAACCACAACAACAACAACAACCACAACAACAACCACAACCACAACCATCACAACAACCACAACAACAACCATCACAACCATCACAAAAACAACCATCACAACAACAACCACAACAACCATCACAACAACAACCACAACCACAACAACCACCACAACAACAACCATCACAACAACAACAACCATCGCAACCACAACAACCACCACAACAACAACCATCACAACAACAACAACCATCACAACAACCACCACAACAACAACAACCACAACAACAACCACAACAACAACCATCACAACAACCATCACAACCACAACAACAACCACAACAACAACAACCATCACAACAACAACCATCACAACAACAACAACCACCATCACAACAACCATCACAACAACAACCACAACAACAACCATCACAACAACAACAACCATCACAACAACAACCATCACAACAACCACAACAACAACAATCACCACAACAACAACAACCATCACAACAACCACAACCATCACAACAACAACAACCACAACAACAACAACAACCATCACAACAACAACCATCACAACAACAACAACCACAACAACAACCACAACAACAACCACAACAACAACCATCACAACAACAACCACAACAACAACCATCACAACAACAACAACCATCACAACAACCACAACCATCACAACAACAACAACCATCACAACAACAACAACCATCACAACAACAACAACCATCACAACAACCACAACAACCATCACCACAACAACAACCATCACAACAACCATCACAACCACAACACCTCCATGAGTGGCCAGCGCCCAGCCCCGCTCACCCTGCTGACGTTACCGATGAGCGTCACTCTGGCGCACAACGGGCTCTGGGGGTCGTAGACGCCTCGCGAGCAGTAGTCCGTGCTGGCCAGCGTCATCGTCATTGAGACGCGGGGGTCGGCCTGGCGGGCGGGGTCGGGGTCGGGGTGGTGGCAAGGCAACAGGCAACCGCAGCACAGCCAACAAGGGGCGGCAACAATCGTCAGCGGTCGGCGCGAACCGTCGTGCCGGGCGAACTCTCCCGGCCGTCATCGTCTTCCTCGCAGTAAGTTAGCGGCGGCGGCGGCGGCGGTGGCATTTGGCTGGCCGTCGAACAGAGTATATTGGTCACCGCGAAGCGCGGCGCTTTCAGATGTCATGCACTACGCTATACACTATACACTACACTATTAACTAAACATTAATGTACACTACACTATACACTGGTATACACTACACATTTCTATACACTACACTGTAGACTACTATACACTACGCTATACACTACACTATTAACTAAACATTAATGTACACTACTATACACTACACTATACACTACACATTTCTATACACTACACTGTAGACTACTATACACTACACTATACGCTACACTATTAACTAAACATTAATGTACACTACTATACACTGGAATACACTACACATTTCTATACACTACACTGTAGACTACTATACACTAAACTATATCCTACACTATTAACTAAACATTAATGTACACTACTATACACTACACTATACACTACACATTTCTATACACTACACTGTAGACTACAATACACTACACTATACGCTACACTATTAACTAAACATTAATGTACACTACACTACGCACTGGTATACACTACACATTTCTATACACTACACTGTAGACAACTATACACTACACTATACACTACACTATTAACTAAACATTAATGTACACTACTATACACTACACTATACACTACACATTTCTATACACTACACTATACACTACACATTTCTATACACTACACTGTAGACTACTATACACTAAACTATATGCTACACTATTAACTAAACATTAATGTACACTACACTATACACTACACATTTCTATACACTACACTGTAGACTACTATACACTAAACTATACGCTACACTATTAACTAAACATTAATGTACACTACTATACACTACACTATACACTACACTATACACTACACATTTCTATACACTACACTGTAGACTACTATACACTAAACTATACGCTACACTATTAACTAAACATCAATGTACACTACTATACACTACACTATACACTACACTATACACTACACATTTCTATACACTGCACTGTAGACTACTATACACTAAACTATACGCTACACTATTAACTAAACATCAATGTACACTACTATACACTACACTATACACTACACATTTCTATACACTACACTGTAGACTACTATACACTAAACTATACGCGAGATTTTTGGCTGGCCGTCAAACAAAGATGGTAACCACATCGCACGGCGCTTTCAGATGTTATACACTACACTATACGCTACAATATTAACTAAACATTAATGTACACTACACTATACACTGGTATACACTACACATTTGTATACACTGCACTGTAGACTACTATACACTACGCTATACACTACACTATTAACTAAACATCAATGTACACTACTATACACTACACTATACACTACACATTTCTATACACTACACTGTAGACTACTATACACTACGCTATACACTACACTATTAACTAAACATTAATGTACACTACACTATACACTACACTATACACTACACATTTCTATACACTGCACTGTAGACTACTATACGCTACACTATACGCTACACTATTAACTAAACATTAATGTACACTACACTATACACTACACTATACACTACACATTTCTATACACTACACTGTAGACTACTATACACTAAACTATACGCTACACTATTAACTAAACATTAATGTACACTACTATACACTACACTATACACTACACATTTCTATACACTACACTGTAGACTACTATACACTAAACTATACGCGAGATTTTTGGCTGGCCGTCGAACAAAGATTGGTCACCACATCGCACGGCGCTTTCAGATGCGCTTCTGCGGTCTGGGACGCTCTTCCTTCCGATGTTAGGAGGCCACTGGAGTTGTGCACTTTTAAATCATCATCATCATCAACATCAACATCTAGATTGACAAACTCGTTTCTTTAGAACTGCTTCTTGCGTTTGGTTTGTTGTCTTCCCCCCCCCACCCCCCCTCACCCCACCCCCCCCACATCCTCGATTGTCACAGTTGGCTACGTGCGGTACCAAAGAAGTTCAACGGACGTACACAATGTGACGGCCGGTCCACCGGACCTCCTGAATGCCGCAGAGACCCAGGCGGTACCGGTCCAGCTCCCGACAGGGGGAGTGGCAGCCTCTCGTCCGCAACGAGCGTTCGGAACGTTCCACGTGGCCGCCCGCGGTGGCTTTTTGCCGTTTCCGGAGGAGCTCCCGAGGGTAGAGGATTGAGTCTCCTGGCTTCCGCCAAATGGGGTTTGGCCAGGAGACGTCATGGTGGACGCCCGTCTACCCGGGCCCTCTGCCACAAGCTTAGATTTATTTATTTTTTTCCCCCCACGTAGCTTAGCGGTAATTCAATTGAAGGTGGAGCAAGTGACCAGCCTGTCCAGAGCCCCCCAATTGGCAGCTGTGTTGGCTACAAACGCGTTGACTAGAATAGCCAATGGGAATTGACCTTCCCCTGCCCCCCCCCCACCCCCACCCCCATGGCATTGCTCACCACGGCTTTTACAGGTACACACAAACGGGTACAAACGTACACACACACACAAAGATCCTCCGTGCCACAGATGAGTTACAAATTGACTAGACTGGAACATCTGTGCCACATTCCAACCCAGTGTGGGTGCTTTGCTCGGTATTGCGTCATCACTCCTCCACAGCGGCAGAGTTTGGGGTTCTCACTAACAACGAAACTTCTTCTTTGTGTCTCCTGTTCAACCTTTGTCGTCTCTTCCAAATATTCTGCATAGACTCAACACAGTCACCCATAGACTCAACACTGCACCATAGACTCAGCACTGCACCATAGACTCAACACTGCACCATAGACTCAACACTGTACCATAGACTCAACACTGCACCATAGACTCAACACTGCACCATAGACTCAGCACTACCCATAGACTCAGCACTGCACCATAGACTCAACACTGCACCATAGACTCAACACTGCACCATAGACTCAACACTGCACCATAGACTCAACACTGCACCATAGACTCAGCACTGCACCATAGACTCAACACTGCACCATAGACTCAACACGGCACCATAGACTCAGCACTGCACCATAGACTCAACACTGCACCATAGACTCAACACTGCCCATAGACTCAACACTGCACCATAGACTCAACACTGCACCATAGACTCAACACCACACCATAGACTCAACACTGCACCATAGACTCAACACTGCCCATAGACTCAACACTGCACCATAGACTCAACACTGCACCATAGACTCAACACTGCACCATAGACTCAACACTGCCCATAGACTCAACACTGCACCATCGACTCAACACTGCACCATAGACTCAACACTGCACCATAGACTCAACACTGCCCATAGACTCAACACTGCACCATAGACTCAACACTGCACCATAGACTCAACACTGCACCATAGACTCAACACTGCCCATAGACTCAACACTGCCCATAGACTCAACACTGCACCATAAACTCAACACTGCACCATAGACTCAACACTGCACCATAGACTCAGCACTGCACCATAGACTCAACACTGCCCATAGACTCAACACTGCACCATAGACTCAAAACTGCACCATAGACTCAACACTGCCCATAGACTCAACACTGCACCATAGACTCAACACTGCACCATAGACTCAACACTGCACCGTAGACTCAACACTGCACCATAGACTCAACACTGCACCATAGACTCAACACTGCACCATAGACTCAACACTGCCCATAGACTCAACACTGCCCATAGACTCAGCACTGCACCATTGACTCAACACTGCACCATAGACTCAGCACTGCACCATTGACTCAACACTGCACCATAGACTCAACACTGCACCATAGACTCAACACTGCACCATAGACTCAACACTGCACCATAGACTCAACACTGCCCATAGACTCAACACTGCACCATAGACTCAACACTGCCCATAGACTTAACAAATGGATTGATTTATTACCATAAATTTTCTCTGTGATCTATTTTATTGTTATGTACATAGCTCTCAGCCCATACGGTTTACCCCATATTCCTGTACAGGGAAATTGAGTTTTCAGATGCAGCAACAAAAAATAAATGATAATTTTCTGTTTATTGTTGTACATTTGTAATGACATTAGAGTCAACCTCCTGGTGTGAGTGGACTAGTGGACACGGGAAGTAATGACAGGGGGAGTCAGCCTACGGTGTGAGTGGACTGGTGGACACGAGAGGTACTGACAGAGGAGTCAGCCTGCAGTGTGAGTGGACTGGTGACCACGGGAGGTAATGACAGGGGAGTCAGCCTGTAGTGTGAGTGGACTGGTGGCCACGGGAGGTAATGACATGGGAGTCAGCCTGCAGTGTGAGTGGACTGGTGACCACGGGAGGTAATGACATGGGAGTCAGCCTGCAGTGTGAGTGGACTGGTGGCCAAGGGAGGTAGTGACAGGGGAGTCAGCCTGTAGTGTGAGTGGACTGGTGGCCACGGGAGGTAGTGACAGGGGAGTCAGCCTGCAGTGTGAGTGGACTGGTGGCCACAGGAGGTAGTGACAGGGGAGTCAGCCTGCAGTGTGAGTGGACTGGTGGCCACGGGAGGTAGTGACAGGGGAGTCAGCCTGCAGTGTGAGTGGGCCGGTGGCCACGGGAGGTAATGACAGGGGAGTCAGCCTGCAGTGTGAGAGGACCGGTGGCCACGGGAGGTAATGACGATAGAGTCAACCTGCGGTGTGAGTGGACTGGTGGCCACGGGAGGTAATGACAGGGGAGTCAGCCTGCAGTGTGAGTGGACTGGTGGCCACGGGAGGTAGTGACAGGGGAGTCAGCCTGCAGTACGAACGGACTTGCGGCTACGGGAATTATCGAGAATAGCAGCGTGGCCAGGTGAACGGAAGACGACAGCGGAGTCTGCTGGTAGAGCGAGCGGTCTAGAACCAGCGAGAAGGTTCGGGAATGGGGGCGTGGCCTCGGGCCGTATATAAGGGGGAGACGCGCAGGAAACTCGGGGCTGTTGCGGTTGGGGTCTCCGCCTGTCCGAGCGTGAGCACACGGCGCCTCAATGAGGAAGCCGTCGCAAGTCGCCATCACACATTTACAACGTGAGTGCATCCGCATACCAAGCAAGCGGCAGCATCAGCATGCATGATCTCAGACAGTAGCATGATGAGTAGCGTCATTGGCACCAATCATCAACATTAATACATGAAACACCATGGGACCTCCTTGGGCAGTGCAGCGCCGTGTAGAATCACTCAGTCGGACACGTTCCGAGTCACCTGCTTAGACTTCATTACTCTCTCTCTCTCGCACCAGTTGCAGGCACTATCTCTGTCTGTCTATGCGGTCACTCTGTTAACCGACTTCCCCGATCCATGCTCTTTGGTTCTTTCGGTAAAGTCACGTAGGTGTAGAATAAAATAAATCACGACGTTCCGGGCGCAACACAAGCGTCCGCGTCTGTGATCTTGCATGCTGCGCCCAAAACGTCGTCGTTTCACACACAATAAAAGTAGTTTCACACACACAATAAAAGTAGTTTCACACACACAATAAAAGTAGTTTCACACACACAATAAAGTAGTTTCACACACAATAAAAGTAGTTTCACACACACAATAAAAGTAGTTACACACACACAATAAAAGTAGTTACACAAAATAAAAGTAGTCACACACACAATAAAGTAGTTTCACACACACAATAAAAGTAGTTACACACACACAATAAAAGTAGTTACACACACAATAAAAGTAGTTACACTCACAATAAAAGTAGTTACACACACAATAAAAGTAGTTACACACACAATAAAATTATTTACACACACAATAAAAGTAGTTACACACACAATAAAAGTAGTTTCACACACAATAAAAGTAGTTTCACACGCACAATAAAAGTAGTGTCGCACACAATAAAAGTACATTTTGATTTAAAGCTTTCGTGACTGCAGTAATTCATATTCTTAGCTCTTTCGGTAAAGTCACGTTGAAGGGAAACAATAAAATAATAAAACATATATAAAACAATAAAAATTCTCACGACGTTTCGACCATAACACAAACGGTCGTCATCAGGTGTGTCGGTTTGCAATGGTCGAAACGTCGTGAGAATTTTTATTGTTTTAAATTTATTTTTATTATTTTATTGTTTCCCTTCAACGTGGTGACTTTACCGAAAGAGCTAAGAATACAATAAAAGCAGTTTCGCGCACAATAAAAGTAGTTACACACACACAACAAAAGTAGTTACACACACACAACAAAAGTAGTTACACACACAATAAAAGTAGTTTCACACTCACAATAAAAGTAGTTACACACACAATAAAAGTAGTTACACACACAATAAAAGTAGTTACACACACAATAAAAGTAGTTACACACACACAATAAAAGTAATTACACACACAATAAAAGTAATTACACACACAATAAAAGTAGTTACACACACAATAAAAGTAATTACACACACAATAAAAGTAATTACACACACAATAAAAGTAGTTTCACACACAATAAAAGTAGTTACACACACAATAAAAGTAGTTTCACACACAATAAAAGTAGTTACACACACAATAAAAGTAGTTACACTCACAATAAAAGTAGTTTCACACACACAATAAAAGTAGTTACACACACAATAAAAGTAGCTACACACACAATAAAAGTAGTTTCACACACACAATAAAAGTAGTTACACAATAAATGTAATTTCACTCACAATAAAAGTAGTTACACTCACAATAAAAGTAGTCACACACACAATAAAAGTAATTACACACACAATAAAAGTAATTACACACACAATAAAAGTAGTTACACACACAATAAAAGTAGTTACACACACACAATAAAAGTAGTTTCACACACACAATAAAAGTAGTTTCACACACAATAAAAGTAGTTACACACACAATAAAAGTAGTTACACACACAATAAAAGTAGTTTCACACACACAATAAAAGTAATTTCACTCACAATAAAAGTAGTTACACACACAATAAAAGTAATTACACACACAATAAAAGTAATTACACACACAATAAAAGTAGTTACACACACAATAAAAGTAGTTACACACACACAATAAAAGTAGTTACACACACAATAAAAGTAGTTACACACACACAATAAAAGTAGTTACACACAATAAAAGTAGTTACACACAATAAAAGTAGTTACACTCACAATAAAAGTAATTACACACACAATAAAAGTAATTACACACACAATAAAAGTAGTTACACACACAATAAAAGTAGTTTCACACACACAATAAAAGTAATTTCACTCACAATAAAAGTAGTTACACACACAATAAAAGTAATTACACACACAATAAAAGTAATTACACACACAATAAAAGTAGTTTCACACACACACAATAAAAGTAGTTTCACACACAATAAAAGTAATTACACACACACAATAAAATAAGTCTGGCGCGCGCGCGCGCGCAACAAAAGCGTCTCCGCCGCGCCCCCTCTCACCGCGATGTCCTTGACGGACACGTCGAGCGACGAGAGGTACATGTAGGGCACCCCGCTGGCGTCGCCCGCGGGTCCGTCGCTCACTGAGAAGACGCTGGCGAAAGGGAGTCCCCGCCCGGGCGGCGCTCGCCCGCTCAGCGTGGCGAGCGCCGCCCAGTCCACCGCGTGCGCCACGAAGCGCGCCACGCGCGCCACCTGCTCGTGCGGAGGGATCTTGGAGGAGGCGGAGGTCAGCCGGTGGACGCGTCGCTCCGATTGGTCGGTTGCCCGCAGGTGCAGGTGCAGAGGCTGCGGCGGCGGTTGGTCGCTTCCCGCCAAAACGTCGAGCGGCGGCGCGGCGGCGGCGTTGTTCAGCCGGTGGACGCGTCGCTCCGATTGGTCGGTTGACTGCAGGTGCAGGTGCAGAGGCTGCGGCGGCGGTTGGTCGCTTCCCGCCAAAACGTCGAGCGGCGGCGCGGCGGCGTTGTTCAGCCGGTGGACGCGTCGCTCTGATTGGTCGGTTGCCTGCAGGTGCAGCGGCGGCGGTGGGCGGGAGGAGGAGGCGGCGGCTGCGGCGGCGATGGCGATGGCGGCGGCCGCGAAGCAGAGGAGCGGGATCGCCCGCATCTTTATTTTAAAAATACGTTGTTATTTTTTTTTACGTTTCGGTTGTGAAAGCAACGCAAAGGGTAAGAAGCGTTGGTTGAGACGAGATGAGCGAGCGGTTGTCTGTTCCCATTCGCGGCTGCCCGGGGTAACCCACCGTGGACCGCCTATCTCGCGAGCCCGCGTGACGATGGAGTTAGGGCAGGGCAGGCAGGCAGGGCAGGCAGGCAGGGCGCGATGTTGCAGCTGTGTTGCGGGTTGCGAAATGCCGGCGCAGACGGAAAGAGAGAGGCAAGCGAGAGAGAGAGAGAGACGTGGGTGGGAGTGGGGTGAGTGCTTCTGTGGCAACGCTGCGGGGTCACGTGATGGATACGTTGATAATGACGATTGTGATGATTATTGTTTTTCGGCGAACGTTTAGTCGCGGGTCAGCTCTTTTTTTTTTTAAACCCGGCGGAGGTTTTGAAGTTGTTTTTTTGTGGGTTTTTTTTTTTAAAGTTGACGTCAAAGTTCATCGGCTGACGGAAATCTGTCCTTGAAAGTTGAACGTCGACGTCGAAATTTTTTTCTTTTTTAAAAGTTCGGTTGTCGGATTCGCTGCCTCTCCACAGCGGGGGCAACAGAAACCCTCAACGGTGACGAAGTTTAAAAAAACAAACAAAAAAATGTTTTGGTTGTCGGATTCGCTACGTAGGGTGCCCTTTTTTGTTTTTATATGTAATGATAATTCTTGAACTCGTGAGGGGGTGGGTGGTGGTGGGTGGGTGGGGTGGAGGTTGGGGAGAAAAATGCCAAAACGAAAATGTTTTGGTTGTCGGATTCGCTGCTGTCTGTTGAGTTCGTTCTAGATTTGAAGTTTTCGTGACTGCCAAGGGTCCCATACGCTTTGGTTCTTTCGGTAAAGTCACGTAGTAGGTGAAAAAATATATAAATATTTTTCGATTTAAAGCTTTCGTGACTGCAATGATTCATCTTCTTTGGTTCTTTCGGTAAAGTCACCACGTAGAATGAGAATAAAATAATAAATTGATAAAATAAAATAACACAATAATATTCTCACGACGTTTCGGCCACAACACAAGCGGCCTTCATCAGGTGAAGGGGCGAGACTGTCTGTCACCTGATGAAGGCCGCTTGTGTTGTGGCCGAAACGTCGTGAGAATATTGTGTTATTTTATTTTATCAATTTATTATTTTATTCTCATTCTACGTGGTGACTTTACCGAAAGAACCAAAGAAGATATAAATATTTTTTTAAAAAAATGACAAATATAAAATCAATAGAAATAAAACACTGATTTTGAAAAAAAAAAAAATTTTTTATATATTTTTATTGTTATTTTTATTTATTTTCTCACCTACGTGACTTTACCGAATGAAACCAGAGAGAGTGTGTCTCTTGAGTTCACTCCAAAGACAAAATCGTTCCGTTGTCGGATTCGCTGCGTCGGGTGTTTAATTTTTTAATTCTTGAACTCGTGACAAGGGTGGCAGAGAGATGGGGGTGGGGGGGGATGGGCAGACTGCCAAAACTAAATGTATTTGTTTGTCGGATTCGCCGAGTCTTTGCGTTCACTTCAAAGTAAAATCGTTCGGTTGTCGGATTCGCTGCGTCGACTTTTTTAAAAAAAATATTTAACTCGTGACAGGGAGGGAGGGAGGTGGAGCGGGGGGTTACAGACCAATCCTAAAAAAACTCAGAGTTGGTGACTTGCAAGAATTAATCTTGGGTTCTTTCGGTAAAGTCACGTAGAAATAGAAAATAAATAAATAAAAAATTATGCTATTATTGTGTTATTTTTTCTTCGTCTATTTCTACGTGACTTTACCGATACAACCAAAGATACAGACCAATGTTAGCTATTTAAAAAAAATGTGGTCGTCTGTCTCTCTGTCTGTGTGTGTGGCTACCTTGCTTGTAATGCTTTTTTTTAGTTGTGTTTACTATATGGTATTCATTATATAGAGTAGTGTATACCCAGTTGCTTTGTGATTAATAGCTCAGCTTATTGAAGAATATATCAAGTACATTTATTATATTGGTGTAATATCGATTTAGTTTCTTCACATCGGTTTGCTTTATGATAGTTGGGTAGTTGGAGGCCGTTTAGCGTCCATGTACTAAATGCCTCTGTTGATATGTAAACTTTAGACTTTAACACAGCTCTAGATTTGAAGCTTTCGTCACTGCAAGGATCCACATACTCTTTGGTTCTATTCGGTAAAGTCACGTAGGTAAAAAAATTAAATAACAAAAATCACGACGTTTCGGCCACAACACAAGTGGCCCTCATCAGGTGAAGGGACCGGACTGTCATCGTCCCTTCACCTGATGAAGGCCACTTGTGTTGTGGCCGAAACGTCGTGATTTTTGTGATTTTATTTTTTACCTACGTGACCTTACCGAATTTAACACAGCTATTTCTGTCACAAGCTAATCCCTCAGCTATTTCCATGCTAAATTCTCCTGCTTTGATAGGTAAAGTCCTTTGTCGAGGCCCTCCACGCCTCTCACCGAGCTTAAAAGACGCTGCGAATCTTAGCGGCGTTCGTTCGAGCTCTGTCGTCCCGACAGCTCTGTTGTTTCACCTGAAGAAGGCTGCTTGTTTACATTATGAGACCTCCTTTTCCAGTAACAAGATATAGGAATAGGTTTTACCCTTTTAACTGGCACAAAAAAAAAACTGACACCTTTATTCAAGGCATCATGTCTGCAATAACCACAACACAAGCAGTCAGAATGCAAACAAAAGAGACAACTCTGATAATAATATTGGCACTGTCCTTGAATTTGATTGGTCCACACCCGAGACGGCTTTCTTTAGAGCCTTCTGGTCCAACACCAGTGGAGACTAGGCTCTCAGAAAAGCCGTCTCGGGTGTGGGCCAATCAAATTCAAGGATGGTGCCAATATTATTATCAGAGTTGTCTTTTTGTTTGCAATTTTGACTGCTTGTGTTGTGGTTATTGCAAACATGACGCCTTGAATAAAGGTGTCAGTTTTTTGTGCCAGTTAAAAGGATAAAAACCTATTACTAAGGCTACTTGTGTTGTGGCCGAAACGTCGTGAGGATTTTATCGTCTCATTTTATTATTTTATTATCATTCTACGCGGTGGCGACTTTACCTAAAGAACCAAAAAAGATGAATCCTTGCAGTCACGAAAGCTTTAAATCGAAAAAAAAAGAGTACACAAACACAATAAACTGGATGAACACTTGCAGCAACTTTTTATTTTGCCCTCGGTCCAATCTAAACTAAAAAAAAATATCAGACTCTGTAACAATGTACGCTGACCGTGATGATGACTTTGAGCCACGCGCCATTTTGCGCGTCTGCGCATGAAACGAAACGCCGATTGGCCATTCATTAATGACGTCACGCACCTAGGGGGGGTGGGCGGGGGGGTCAGACATTCGTGACTATGTGTGACGATGTGGGGGGGAGGAGGGGGTTTGAGAAATGTGACGTCACATCAAAATAACGCAACTTTATAAATAAATACAGGCAACACGTTCTACTCAATTAAAAAAAGGGTTTCAGTTTTGTTGCCAGATAAAAATGGGAGAAACCCCTATTGTTATTATTATTACATTTTGGTACTGGCAAAGGAGGTCTAATGATGATGTAGATGCTCACCCCGAGCCCTCATTACTTTGCTAGCGGCATTGTCTTTGAGCTGTGTTAAACGCCTTTTGACGTCATCTGGTCGAGCACCAATTGGGTCGAGGCTCCAAAAGAAAGCCGTCCCTTGGTGTGGACCAATCAGTTTCAAGGACAATGCCACCATCATATTATAATAGTGTGTTTTGTGTTTGAAATTTTGACTGCAGGTATTGTGGTTAATGCAGTAAACATGATTCCTTGTAAAAAAGGTTTCAGTTTTGTTGCCAGAAAAAAGGGGAAAACCCCTATTATTATAATTTGATACTGGCAAAGGAGGTCTAATGATGTAAATAGACTTTGTGATAAATGTTTTCTGGCTACAACATCAGAGTGCGGCGCCAGCCACATTAAGTTCGCAACTACAATGACAATAGTTTTGATTTAAAGCTTTCTTGACTGCAGTAATTCATATTCTTAGCTCTTTCGGTAAAGTCACATGACCGTTCATCATCACCTGATGATGATGAACGTTTGTGTTATGGTTGAAACGTCGTGAGAATTTTTTTATTGTTTTATATATATTTTATTATTTTATTGTTTCCCTTTAACGTGACTTTACCGAAAGAGCTAAGAAAATGACAATAGTTTAAAGTGATTTGAAGCGTGGTGTTTTATTTTATTTTGGCGGAGGGGGGTGGGGTTGGGGCAGAGCTTTGTGACGTCATATTTGAGGGGCGGGGTCTGACGCCGTGTGACCCTAAAAGTAAAAAATCGTCCAAAATCGCGTGACGTCATTCATGGACGGCCCCTTAAGCGACGACGGGAAGTTATTTCGCGACTTGCCGGTGGTGGTCATTTTGTTTGCGGAAATTTTTTTTCAAAAAACGAAAATAAAAACTGCAAAGCCTCTCCGAGACAATCACGAACACAGAGACAGGGGCGGTGGGGGGGGGCGGGGGGGGCGAGGGGGGGCGAGGGGGGGGGGGCGCGGTGGTGCGCAAAGCAAACAGTGGAGCAGCTGCTGCTGTCTCGACAGCAAACAACGAATTCGCTTCGGCAGCACGCGCCGAGGAAACTCCAAGGCGGCGTGCACGGAGACAGGCCGGAGACAGCACAGTCACCGCTGCGGCACGCGCCGAGGAAACTCCAGGGCAGCGTGCACGGAGACAGGCCAGAGGGTGGTCACGGCGTGCTGGGTATTGTCATCACGGGCTCCACTTACATCCGGGTGCACTACCGGCCCTGGAGGAGTTGGTTGAGCGCCGATCGATAAGCGCCGGATGGCACCACGCCGGGCGTGCAGTGCCGACCCCCACAGGATAGGGTGTGTGTGTGTGTGGGAGTACCGGCCAGGGGACATGGGGTCACTAAAGGCCGTGGCACTCTGGTTGACCCCCAGAGAACACGTGGCCGGTTAAGTCTACACAGGGCCCCCCCCCCCCCGAAGTGGGTGCTAGGGGTGGTCACGTGGTCAGGGTCGAGATCCTGCTGGAAGGTTCTCGAAGGTGGTCGTGTCCAAGGGCGGAGCCACGCCACAGACGATATCAGCCAGGTCCCCCCCCCAAATCAATGTTTAATTAAAAAAAAGTTTGCTCGTCTTGCAAAAAGACTCGCAGGCCAAGTTACTCGCAAATCCACAAGGTTTTACTGTAATTTTTATTTCTTTAACTCGTGATAGGGGGAGAGGGGTGGGGGGAGGGGGCAGACTGCCAAAACAATAAGGTATTGTACTTTTTGGGTCTCTGCGTAAAGTCACGTGGATAGAAAGATAATTTAAAAAAATCACGACTTTTCGATCGCAGGTGAAAAAATACGGCAGGCG